TCGTAGTATTTCTTGACATCAGGGCTGCCTTCGATTCGTTGGTTAGGACTGTTCTCTGGGATTGTCTATTGAAGAAGGGTGTGCCTGGGAAGTTTATTAACATCCTAAAAGCCCTATATACAAACACCTCAGGCAGAGTGAGGGTATACAACCACCTTTCTCCATTGTTCCATTCGAGCAGTGGGGTTAGGCAGGGTTGCCCAATCTCACCATTCCTCTTCAACTTTGCCATCGATGACATTCTGGAAACAGCTCTGATGGATGTAAGTAATGGCGGTGTGGATCTGTTGCCTGGAGAAAGACTTCTCGACCTTGAGTATGCGGATGATATTGTCTTATTGTGCGATAATGCCCAAGGCATGCAATCCGCACTTAATCAGTTGGCAATCAGTGTCCGTAGGTATGGTATGTGCTTTGCACCTTTGAAGTGCAAAGTACTTCTACAAGACTGGCAGGATTCCAATCCTGTACTCACTCTGGATGGTGAGCAGATAGAAGTAGTCGAGAAGTTCGTGTATCTAGGTAGCTGCATAACTGCTGGTGGGGGTGTGAGTGATGAGATCAATGCACGTATAGTGAAAGTTAGAGCGGCTTATGCCAATCTGAGCCACCTTTGGCGCCTTCGTGATGTTAGTCTGGCTGTAAAAGGTCGGATCTACAACGCGTCGGTGAGAGCAGTTTTGCTCTATGCTTGAGAAACCTGGCCTCTTCGAGTTGAAGATGTTAGACGACTCTCTGTGTTCGATCATCGCTGTCTCCGAAGGATTGCTGACATCCAGTGGCAACACCACGTTAGTAATGCAGAGGTTCGGCATCGTGTGTTCGGGCGCAGAGACGATAATGCAATCGGTGTCACCATCTTGAAAACCTACTTCGGTAGCTTGGGCATGTTCTACGAATGTCGTCCCAGAGAATTCCACCTCGTGCATTATTTACCGACGCTGGGACTGGTAGGAAAAAGTGGAGAGGTGGTCAGTGCATGACATGGTGTCGTGGTATGAAAGAAAGCTGTAAAGGACTGGCTTGTGTTGGTCCTTCACGACTCCCTGGCTGGGGTCCTAGAGATGGAGCAACACAGTGGCTAGAGACGTTATCAGATATGGCTCAGAATAGAAGCCAGTGGCGATCCTGCTGTAACCTTCTTTTACTTTCTTCATAAAAAAATGGTTGTATCTTCCTTAACTGAAAGATTTCTTCTGATTGTACCTTTCCGTTCCCCTAATATTACTACTATTATTATTACACTACCTTACACCAATCTCTTCCTTATTGTTCTTTTTTTACCCTCCTTACCTTTTTTTCTTTTTACTTCTCTTCGAATTCTCATTGTTTTGTGTGGCGCATATATATTTGGCGCACTCTTGTACCAATATGTACGTGTTCAAATAAAATAATAATAAAACTCCTCGACTTCACCGGTGGTCCGTCGTCACAGGTTGAAATACACTTATTTTAATATTCATCAAGCCCAAAATTAGTGTCTCAGTCATTGGGGAGCGTATAGTTTTCATAACGTCGATCATTTACGTTTCCCATGTCATGTTTATCACTGAGATTTCTTGTGGGTTCCATTATTTAAAAGCATAAGTCAGTCAGTCAGTAACAACATAGAACTTCGTACGTACGTACACCAGTTCAAGATGCCATACCACATTAGCACAGAGATGCAGTGGTCGATTCAAATCCCGTAGTCGTAGAGGTAGTAAGAGTATAAGCAGTAATCGGAAACATTAGGGTTTGAACATGTTATTCAAGGAGTATAATCCAGTGAAATAAATTTGGAAAGAAGATAAAGGACATGAAGAATTTAGAAGATTAGAATTTTGGAGAACACAAAGAGTAGATGCACCTGTGCCATTGCAAACGATTTTGAACCATGTCATTCAGGGTCTCTAACCATCGGTGGCTATCATCTCGCGGTCCCCAACCAGGTAGTCTACACCTACTAACATGGCTTAGTCCACTTGTCAGTGACTTCATGGACTTGTGGCGTGTTTTGGTCTGGTTACCCCTAGCTTTGTCCCAACCTACTCCTACACCATAAAACATAGCACGTCAAAATTCATTTCTTTACGAAAAAGGTTACTTCGGTTATCTTACTTCTCATTCGTGAAATATACTGAAATCATATACAGTCAAATCAACTTATCAATCTGATCAGAGTTATGATCCAATTGTTACACGACATCCGGCTGCTTGGTAAGAGTTGTTTCCAGAATATGAATAGTAAATGAAACGTAAATTACGAGCGCTATCATCAGCTAAGACTTCTTAAATATCAAAACACTGCGAAACTGAAACTGATTGCCACATATATGATAGAACATACCATTATGCATCAGAAATAGCTCTGCTCTGCAGACTACTAATGATTCTAAACTTCCCATAAACCACTGATGGAGAAATTTAGCAGTAAACTAATACTTAATATATCATATAATATTCAATAACTAATTCAGAAGTCTCTAACTACATTGAACTTTATGAGATCAGAATAATAGTGAAATAAATACCTTTGCACCACTAAAACTAGAAAGTATGGGTAAATAAGATCTTAGTAAACAAGAGAAAAGAGAGATCACATAGTATATATTAGTAAATAGGAATGTCTTCAAAAGAAAGGAGACCATAACATGATTAAAAAACCTCAAAATCCCACTTTCCAAATACTATTTACAAGAAAATGTCCTCAAAAATGGATCCGAATCATACACAAGTTGACAGCTGCAACTAACATTTTTGTGAATTTACATTATCTTCTTACAGCATAAACGACTAGTAGCATATACATAGAAGGGCAGTTTGTTGAGCCACCTTAGCATTTCATATAGTGAACTATGAAACTCTGATTTAATAAAAAAACGTCAATGTTATATTAATAATTATAATTTATATGGTGCGTGGAACAGTTTGTTGCCGTTTCCTCTTACAAATAATCCATGTCTCAGCCAAGAAACTGTGTATTAAGGAGGGAATCACCTACATCTTATTTGATAGTTACATTTCCGATATAATACTGAAGCAAACACGTTCTTAAAAAAAAGTTAACTATTAAGGATTCATCTCCATACTGTGTCTCGCTCTGATAACAAACGAGTCAAATGAAAGGAAAACTGGTCAAATAATTCGAAGTCGGGACGAAACAAGTTAATCGAATATGAGGCTTTATACTATCAGTAAACAAAAATCCAGTATTCTTCAAAACTTTGAATTAGCAATACCTAGGTCGAAATATTGAGACAGTAATAAATTGTAATAATGTGATTCAATACAATTTATCATGTAACATGCATACAAAATTACATAATAAGGACTGATTAAAAGGCGAAATTTCAACTTAACTTACTTGGTACGGATACATTACACTTTTGAATTTCATGAGGCAAAGTATCTTGGGAAGGAATCGACAAATTTGTACATGAATGAGAATATGAATTAAGTGGTATACTGAGTAACGAGGATGAGGAAGATACATTGAGTAGACGTTTACACCTTGGAGGTATCACTGGTTGTAGTAAGCTTTGTGGATCAACATTTGTAGCTTTTATAAGCTGTGAATTTGGAACAATGTGGGTAGAAGCAATTCGATCGGTGCTTTTGCTTCTTAGTTGAAGTGATCCGAATTCACGTATATCTATACAATATGCCGGAAAATATCCTTTATGTTTTGTTGTTTCATTAAGTCCATATAAAAAAGAGGTCGGTGCCGTAGCTTGAACAAGAAATGATGCGTACAAAAAAATCAAAAGTGGGATATATGTATATATAAAGATATAAAATTACGCAGTGGATTATAACTAAGTACTAGACATAATCAAAATGGACTGAATCTATAATAATCGCCTCGATGAAGTGTATATATTTAGAAATCTCTAAAATAGTTTTCAAAACTAAGTGTTACAAAAATCGGTAGAAGGGTATCCTTTTTGAGCTAACTAAAAGGTTTTGTATTACTGAAAAATATCAAGACCGTCAATAACGGATACATAAAGCCTTTTGGACTGACATGACAGTAACCAAATATTTTCAACATTACAGGTTCTATATAACAAACTTTGGACACATCAATTATCCAAACATTAAAAGAAATATCGCCATGAGAAATTCTCAAGTTATCTTTTAAAATGTCCAAGACTACTGTACTTCACCTTTTAGCACTCAGTTTAATACTACTTAAGAATAAAAACATAAGATAACAAGACTTTAAGCTTGAAATATAACAAATGCAGTACGTTTCTCTGTCAATATTAATAAAAATAGTAATAATAACTGATTAAAACTGATGGACCGAAACAAAACGTAAATTCAGTTCACTAACCATTTTGTGGTCGACATTCAACCACTAGAATATCACCAGCAATAACATCGAGATATTCCTCTGCTGAGAGAGGAGTTCGACGAAATGTCGAAATGCAAGTATATCTTCCTGGATGTATATCATAGTTAAAATATGGGCGGCTTTGTGTCATAAAATATTATCTTGCTTTTTAATTACCAATACGCAAATGACAGACTAAAACAAGTCATAAAATAAAAAAATAGTAGATAGAATCGGTAACACTTGTATGATCACACAAAAAAGAATCAAAAGACATAAAGCACAGTCTCTATTATTTATTAACTAATTTGCAGAAATCGGAAGTAAACATATGGTCACAAATTTAAAAGTGCTAGATTATTATACATGTTTTTCCAGCTCTTCTTCTTGTTGTTTGGCACCTTTATACATCCATCGGTGATTAAGAGATACATATGGTGATGGAGTGTACTCTCCGATTACTGGAATATGCCAGTCAGGATACCGTTGTCTGAACTCCACATTATATTTACCCAAAGCTGACATTAATGCGAATCCGATGCATGTAGTAGCACGTACCTTCATAGAACCTATAAAAGAAACATGTGAGAACGATTATAACACAATATGGTTATTGTTACATGCATAAAATTTGAAAACAACAGATCATTGTATCCAAACAAATGTAGATAATAGATTTAATTGTGTTCATCATTTATTGTTATTAAAAATTTAACGTGAACATTTTCAAAGAGCATATTTTTATAAACAGCATATTATCACGTACAAATATAGGCTTATGCATTTCAATCGAAAAGACACTTACTCATTAAAAGAAGAATATAAGTCATGTTCGTAGTCGTACGAAAGATAATATCCATCATACCCTTGACAGATATTTTCTCATTTAGATAAAAAATTATTGTACCTGATCCAATTATTTAAAAATGTGAATACATTAAAACTTTATCCATGCATTGTCTTTGACGAAAATTCACATGTTCAGAATATACTACAGATTTCCAGTGGATACCTTTCATTGCTCATAAACGAAGTTAACTGAACGGCATTCAAACAATACATCAACCCAAGACAATGTACATTATTCTGAAACCACAACAATGAATTCAGTACAAAAAGGTTTTAAAACACCTATCGATGCCATCTGACTGAATATCATCTAGTGCCACTATTTCGGGCTAGTGAACAATGAAATGTTAGTAGACTAATTTAATGACTTATGTGGAGACATAAACACCGATTCTAACGCCAAAACATTTACGTTAAGCATCACAGTAAATAAGTCAAAAAATTTATTCCAAGGAAATCCCGTTTATTTGTTTGATGTAGTCTAATGAAATAAAGGCAATTTTCCAAGGAGTATACGATAACATCTTTCAGTAGTAGCAGTCTACAAGCGCGAACCGAAAATACCATTATGGAGAGTTAGCAACTATAATACAGTTTCATAAACTCCAAGCCTTGGAGTGAATCTAGCTATTGTGACAAACCTCGTAACATCGGAAAGCAAGATAACCAGTCTGATGAGACAATAAAGGGAACAAGTCACTCTAAAACACATCCACTGCATCGGATAGTTATTTATTGATTATGAAATGAATGCTTCCTCCACATGAATCTACAGATACTTGCTTTCAAGGACAAGCAGTAAAAGAAAAAGGATAAAGATTGGATACATTTACTTAACTATTTCCGAGCACCCAACTGAAATTTATATCTTCATAAACTACAAACACTTGGTGGCCACATCATTCTCTTTTCAATGCCTGAAGTTTTTGCAACAGAGGCCTTTACGATGATATCATGACGAAAACATCAGTAAATGATTAAATTGCTGAACATTGTCCAAACAGTAAGTAGTGCTACATTGATTGCTTGCACAGTGATTTACTTGAAATTGGATAAGCAAGATTTGGATGCTTGTACTTAACACCTACTTATATTTTCCGATACAAATCATCCGGCTTTGACATTAGATTTCTAATTTCATCCCATATTATTTTTACTTGAGTAGCTTAAAGGGATTTACAGCTTGAAACACTGAAAAATCTCTCTTAAATTTAACACGTGTAAAACAAACTACATAGCGGTTACTATCTCCAGTTGGTAGCCGGATTTGTTTGTCAAGATGTAGCTTAGTTAAAAACCCTTCACTATCCCAGGAAGTCCGGACAGAAAGTTGCATAGACAAAAAATAGTCTCCACGTGCAATTCAACACAACAATTCAATCTCGATGGTACATGTTGCTGGCTTAGACGGATTAAAACAGTAATAACATCTTTGTAAGCATCTCCAGCTATGCTGCATTCTTAAGCTTAAAAGAGATCACTAAATATCTACTACATGGAGTACTGGTGGCGCGAGATTATAAAAGTATAGACTTCACATGACAAAATTAAAAATATTTCTGATTACATGGGACTGGTCCAAAATAGTTATTATTCTGATTGCCCAGTAAAACTCTTAGGACAATGAGACAGATACAGTGTAAGCACACCTCTAACCATGACTACTTTTTAAAAATGTACATGAGGTATGGGAAAAGGCTCTTCGTAAAACAGTTGGACATGTAATGAACTAGATCAATAAGATTGGAAATATTCGACTAACGTCCAGGTTACTAGCCTTACTTAAGCTTCGGTGATCTGACTGAAAAGAAAATGATCAATATGATGCCTACTTGTATGTGAAGGCTGAGGAATGTAAAGGAATCAAATGATGTTTTCATGTATACACCTGGTTGCTAACTTTGATCGCCATGGTCTTTATTGTCCTTGGTAAGTGAATATAAATTTAGATGGAGAATTCCGTCGACACTACATATTATAGTGAAAACTAAGCTTTATTGGTCTTATTCTCGCTCTTTAGTAGATGAAAAAATGCTGAACTTTAAAAAGTGGACAGTATTTGATAAAGGGACAATATCTTTTCCAGGCCGTTTCGGCTACGTGTTCGATTCCAAAGAGCCAATTAAATTTATGCATACATATAGAAGTATCAGAACTCAGAATTCTCTTTTACTTGCATTGAAAGAGCAAAACATGTGGTAAACAATACGACGTATTATTAAACGAACAAATGTACAAAATAGTATGTTATAAACACTAACAAGACTCACATTGCCATGTGCAGACTAAACCACTAGCAGCTCCCCCAAGTGCATGATTCACCCAGCTATCTGATCGGCCTGTAGCTTTTGCTGATATAAAGGAAACAGACGAGTGACATACTGCAGCAGACGCTAAACCAATAGCATAGTAGTGAAAGAAATATTTACTTCCAGTGAGCACGTATTTAATACACTGTAGTCCCGTACTATTTAGGCTCGAACCTAGTCTATGCGCTCTGCCATATTCGAGCACACAAGCAATAAAACCTGAAGTAACAAAGTAAAGTTTAAAATGATAAGTGGTTTTTGTTGAGTCATAATACATTTATATTAACTTTAAAATAAAAGTACTGTTAATAAGAATTTATTTTTTCATGGAACTGTCTGTGCGTCCCTTATTTCTATGATTCTGTAAATTTTACAATGGGTTGAGTGACCAATTAAGTTATACATTTTAAGTAGCAACACTTTTGTAAGAATAAATAACTTCCAGCCTAATGAGTTGTAAAGCTCATCCGAAATTTATTACTTTAGTCAGCTGATTACATTTACTTCGAATCAGCAACAAGTATAGTAGAAAATAAATATCCACAAACGAGAAATACTGTATCTATGTAAATCATCAAGCATTTCACGTAGTCAGCTTTAAACATTACTGTACCAAAAAAAGGCCTCGAGACTAAGCAATAAACCTTCATTCTAAGTATTAGAACGCCCCCAAATGCCCTGGTATGGCCAAGAGTAGGGAGAATCAGATCTCCCTCTCGAAATGCTCTCATATGGGCACACGTATATAGCCTCTGTCAGGGAAGTCCTACTCATTGCCTTCTCGTGGCTGGGCTGTTGTTTACGAAATTGAGAGAACGAAAAGCGAATGTCCGGCGCTTTAACCGGGTTGGTGAATACGGAGGATCCACATAGAGAAGTTGGAAAACCCTGATTCCAAACTAAAGGTGCACATGGGCTCCAGTATCCTGAAGGAACAAATGGCGTATGAACCTACTGTTGGTCACCAGCTACCATGGGATTGCATCTCTTGACATAGCTGCACTGCCCTATGGATCAGACCATCGGGTCAAAAGCCACGGGTGTGGCCTCCTAAGAACACCACCTGCTTCGGTTTGGGCACCCAGGCAGTATCAAAGCCCTCACACATATCAAATGAGATTTGTGTGGCGCATATGTATTTGGTGCCTCCTTGTACCAATGTTTGTGCGTTTTGCAGCCGTAAAGTAGAACGGAACGAACTGCTGCACAATATACTCGTTACTTAACTGATGGACGGATATCCATTATTATTATTATTATTATTATTATTATTATTATTATTATTATTTGAACACATAAACATTGATACAAGGAGGTACCAAATACATATGCGCCACACAAATCTCATTTGATATGTGTGAGGGCTTTGATACTGCCTGGGTGCCCAAACCGAAGCAGGTGGTGTTCTTAGGAGGCCACACCCGTGGCTTTTGACCCGATGGTCTGATCCATAGGGCAGTGCAGCTATGTCAAGAGATGCAATCCCATGGTAGCTGGTGACCAACAGTAGGTTCATACGCCATTTGTTCCTTCAGGATACTGGAGCCCATGTGCACCTTTAGTTTGGAATCAGGGTTTTCCAACTTCTCTATGTGGATCCTCCGTATTCACCAACCCGGTTAAAGCGCCGGACATTCGCTTTTCGTTCTCTCAATTTCGTAAACAACAGCCCAGCCACGAGAAGGCAATGAGTAGGACTTCCCTGACAGAGGCTATATACGTGTGCCCATATGAGAGCATTTCGAGAGGGAGATCTGATTCTCCCTACTCTTGGCCATACCAGGGCATCTGGGGGCATGGATATCTCGCATTCCTTCAGAACTGTACTTGACTGAGTTATTACTTTGAGTGATGTCAAGATTTTTATTTGTTTAGAAGCGTTTAGGTTCCGTACGAGACTGCATTAACTGAATGCATAATATTCTCCATCAGTTTTTAGTAACTGATATTTTGACAACTGACTTTTGTCCCATCGTCTCCGTTGTAAAGAACGAATTTACTTGAACGATGGCCCATGGTAGCAGTCATCAGCACACTATCGACGAGATAACACTACATTAATTTATGGAACATAAAGACTGATATGTAGTTACAAGCCATGGATTGAAAAAGACCGTAGACTGTAATTTAGCAGCTGCTTAAGAGTATAGTGTATCATGGCCACTTCGTAGGGTCCTAAAATACCTTAGTAAAAAAGTGTTTCAAAGTTTATGTCCCACCTATGTGATGCTTTATCTAAAATACTATATTCAAGCAGCCATCCCATGTCAAAATAAAAATGCTTATCCCATAGGACGTATGAGTAGACAGTAGCCTGGTAACAGGACTTTTTGAACTTTCCCCTGTTTTGTCAGAAAATACGGACTGATAATGCACTACCATTTAGTATCTTGAATAAAACTTAGGCGCTTATATCTTTTGCTCCGTTTATAGCTAGCCGTCTCCGAGACTACCAAAATAAAAAGCTCAAAGACTACGATTGAAAGCAAAGAACGAATCAAAACACCGTGTCATAAAAATTTCTCCACCGAGAAATCTACTTTGAGCCAAACACTGAAATAAAAGCTTGCGCCCCCAGCCAGTGGATCCAAGAGAATAAACGCATGGAAGCTTACTAGAAAAACGTTTACACAGGCCCCCAGGGATCTCTTGTCAAAACAAAAGCCCGAATCCTCTAAACGACCACATATTGGAATCCTCAAAGACATAAAGTGATCAATGATTGAAATGCTCCAGGAGGGTATATTGATGCTATACTCAAGGTCTGAGGGCGAAGTACTGCTGACTGTGGAGAAGTGTGACAGCAGTAAGGTGTTTCCCTCAAACAACCAGCATCTGCAGCGATGCTGCGCACACAAGTGTGCACATTACGACTAATCAGCTGATCAGCCATTTTCTTCGAACGTAATTAAAGATAAACCTATAAACAAAAAAACCAAAGTGACAGGAAACAAGTGTAATTCTTTAAACCAGTCTTCCTTGGTGAAAGTAAATTCCTTCATTTATAAATATGGTATTGTATGGAAAGGATGAATACAGCTTAATACCGACACCAAAGATTAAAATATTTCTTGACTCACTAACACAGTAACCGCCCATAAAAGCCATCTTCGTCCGAAACAAAGGGTATTTATCATCTGCTGACGCTATGTAATTATACAGTTGTTTCATTTCTGAGATGTAACGCAAGAGTCAAAAATGTAGTTCAAATAGTTCTAATGGTTCAAATGGTTGTGGACGGAATAGAAGAAGCTTTCGCTTAACAGGGGATCACCAAATCCTCCAGGCAGAAACCTAGGTATGTTAACAATAAAAGAGGAAAAGAAATTAGTAAATCATAGTGTGATACTATCCTTAGTCCTTAAGAAACGATCAAGTTGCCTCTTAAAGGACTCCTGGGAAGTCGCTTGGACTAGCTCGCTCGGCAGCGCATTCCAGCATTTGACAACTCTTAAGGAGTAGAAGTTATGTCTATAGTCCGTTCTGCTATATTGTGTCCCCAGTTTTTGGGTGTTACCTCCTAGGTTAGTGTTGGAACTAAGCTTAAGTAGGTGTTTGAGGGGATGTCCAGAAGTGTTAAGGATACTATAAGCCATCAGAAGGTCACCTCTAAGACATCTATACTCTAATGGGTAAAGGTTAAATGAATGGAGGCGGTCTTCTTAAGGTTTAAATTTGAGTCCTCGAACTGATTTCGTGGCTCACCGTTGGATACGCTCCAGGGTATCCTTATCCTTTTGCGATGAGTGGGGAAATACTATGTTTCCATACTCTAAATGGGGACGGATAAGATTATTGAAGATTATATGGAAAGTTCTTCCGTCAAACTGGCCAAAAATGCGCTTCAATGTTACCAGTGAAAGGTTTGCTCGGAAGGCATTTTTGTCACAGCGTAAGACTTTAAATCGTAGGGCACCAGGACTCCTAAATCTTTTCCGACTTGGGATACTACTAGAGAGGAGGTACCTAAGTTATAACTGTAGTCTGAGACATGTCGCAGATGGACTACTTTACACTTTGAAGTGTTAAAGGTAAGTCCGTTATCGTCTGCCCAACTTTGAAGTCGAGTCAGATCCTCCTGAAGTGCCTGTATATCGTCTTGGTTGCGTATCTCTCTCCAAAGTTTCACGTTGTCGGCAAAAAGTAATAAGTCTGACGTTACCCGTTGAGGAAGATCATTTATGTAGATCAAGAAGAGAAGAGGCCCTAGTACTGAGCCCTGGGGGACCCCACTAGGACATTCCATAGCCTGAGATAAAATGAAATTAACCCTAACCTCAATGTGTCGATTTTTTAGGTATGAAGTAAGCCAATCGATTAGAGGTGGTTTGATACCTAGTCGTTTCAGCTTATTGATAAGACACAAGTGGTTAACCTTATCAAAAGCTTTTGAGAAATCTAGGTAAATGATATCAACCTTTCCCTTGCGATCGAGGATGCTTGTCCATCTGTTCACCGCAGTTAGCTGGTTGGTTAAACAAGAGTAACCCTTCCTGAAACCATGCTGTTGGGGTGAGAAGGGATTTAAGGATAGTAAATAGTCATTTATACCATCGCATACCAGGGACTCCATGATTTTTGAGGGTATAGAGAGAAGAGCCACTGGTCGGTAACTTGAGGGTTCGCTGCGTCGACCTCCTTTGGAAATCGGTGTGATGTGAGCCAACTTCCAATTTTCCGGTAGTTTTCCTCGACTTAGCGAGTGTGAGAACATCACGCTAAGCGGCGCTGCTAAGATTGAGGCTGCTTCCCTCAGTATGGCGGAATGGACCACGTCCGGGCCAGGAGAAGTGTCTAATCTTAAGTGCTGCAGTTTCCAGATCACCAAGTCGGCGCTTAGGTTCACTTTGGAAAGTCCTGTGGAATCGCAAACGAAACTGTCATCAGTAAAGTTAATGTCGGTCGGTTGAAATGTCTGGAAGTAATGTCCAGCCAGAAGGTTAGCGGCGTCACCATCGTTGTTGGTAGGGCCGTTAGGACCTACTAGTTGGGAAACTCCTGTTTTGGCTTGACGAAGAGAGGCTGCATAACGGAATAAGCTTTTAGGATTAGAGGCTAATTTGTCCATAAGCTTTGTCTGTACTGAAGCCTATCTTCTCTTGTAGCCTTCGTGCATATGTTCCTGATATGCTTATATTGCCTGTACGCTCCGTCGTTGTCAGTTCGTTTGTATTCCGCCCAAAAGTGCCTTTTGCGGCTTAGCAGGCGAAGGATACGGTTCTTTATTATTTTAGGTTGCTTGCAGCTTTCGGGAACCGTTTGAGGAACTGAATGGTTTGTAGCACATAAGAGCGTGTGCAGTAAGAAGTCCCAATGACCGTCCACATCGAGTTGGGGGTGAACATCCCAAACCACCTGTTGTAGATAGTCGTGTAGAGCTGGCACATCCAACCGTTTAAAATTCCAATGCAAGTTATTGGTAGGGCATCTTAGCTTAGTTTTGCTGACAAAATTAAAGGCTAGGACGGCATGATCGCTTTTTCCCAGGTGAGCCAAGATTGAGAGGTTGTCAACTAGAAATGCTTCCTTTGTGAATACACAGTCTAAGCGCGATGGTGTCTGACTGTTTCTCCAACGAGTTGCCGACCTCACATTTTCGTACAATCCCAAGTCATCGATGAGGTTGAAGAACCGAGCTCCAATTGAGTTGTCGCCTCCAGTGTACGTGTGTTCCGCGAAGTTGACTCTCGGGAGATTAAAGTCCCCTAGAATCAGGATGTGTGTGAAACCGAGACAAGTAGAGCGGGATAGTCCTTCCAGCATACGACTATCGTAATCGGTGTCAGCAGTTGGCTTCCTGTAAATGACTCCGACTAGACACCTCGAAGTACTGGACAGTCTTACAGAGCACCATATGGATTCCTCAAGATTGTTAAACTCGAGGTTGTGGACTTGGTGCACCTCCAAGCAAGAGCTTATGTATATGGCTACTCCACCCTCAACTCCTGTTTTTCTCTCGTTGCGGAACAAAGTCATCCCAGGTAATGCCAACTCATGATCCGAGAACTGAGAAGATATCCAGGTTTCAAATATTCCTATCAGATGGGCCTTATTAGCATTGCTAAGTTCACGTAGTTCATCCAGTTTGTTTGGTAGACTCGCGGCGTTCATATATGAGCAGTTTATGCTTTCAATTTGGAACGCGTGAGCTTCTTCCTGTTTGTCTGTATGAGCCTTACGTAAATGGACAGGTAGCCCACCTATATGAGGTTTGCCGAGGTGGCAGACCCTGTCCTTTACACGTTTTTTTATCGTCTGGACAGTTCACAAGTGGAATGGTCAGCTCCAACTTGCAGCCGCCATATGTGAAGATGGGAAAGTTATCTTCATTAGACGAGGTCTAGAATCACCATCCTTCTTGGCTAGTCTCGTCACATGTTGAGTCAGTATGTTTTTGAGCCTCAAGGACTGTTTGATGAATTTCCATTCCCTGATGTCAGTCTTTGATTGAGTAGGGTCCGTATTTTCCGGTATAGCTTGCACAACTATATTCCTCCGGCGGAAAAACTTATCGCGAGTTTCTTTGGGGATGTTCCGGATGAGATTGAGCTCAGAATACGGTATGTCAGGCAGTATTATTACATTCCTATCTGACTTCAGTAAATGACTCGCTAGTAAGACATTCTTAAGTGTTACACGAAGTAGCCTCGGGTGATTTTGATGCTTAGATTCCTTTCCCAGAGTGAGCCGTGTGACTGTCAAAGGCTCTATTCTTAGAAGTCCAAGTTTCTTGTTCAATTCTTCCCAGAGCATCCTGTCATTTTTGTCCTGCAAACTGGGAGGAAGGTCAGGGTTGTCGTGACTATGAGAGAGTCATCACGAACCGTTATTGTCGTCCCAGGTTTTCCGGTGCGTTCAGGTTTAGCACCTTGTTGTTTGGGGGCCGAAGCACGTTTATGAATCCTTGGCTCTTTGATGACCGGACGGACAATCTTGGAGGTAGACTGTGCGACCAGATCACCAGTTGACCTCCGTTCAACAGCTGGGATGTTCAACTTAGACTGTGACGCCTGGCCCTTTTTAGCTCTTTTGACATGGGTTCAATCACCTACAGAGTTTTTGGGAACCACCGTCGCGTTCAAAGCGCGTGAGCTGTCAGACCCGAGTTTGCTGATGGTGTCGAGTACTGTTGTCGTAAATATGATGCTGAGTTTCAGCGTGTCATCATTAATGCTGTTGCATGCTCCGTCGTTGGTAGACCTGTCGACATCCCTGTTCTCGTTTTTAATGCGCTCTCCTGTTTTTCTATCAATTTTTTGACTGTCTTTTCCCAAGTTTGCCGACAACTTGCTCTGCAGACCTGTCAGTAGGACAATGATATTACTCAGCAAGACTGCAGCATCCGTGCTGCACGTAACACATTCCCACTTATGGTCCGACTTGCTGAGTCTGTTGTAAGCAGTTGCTGTGAGATCTGTGCACGCTTCGTGGAACCAACCTTTGCAGTTGTCGCACTGCATGCCAGATGTAACAGCGAAACGGCATCCAGGTCGTTTGCATGACTTTTTCATGGCTGTATTGACGTAAACTGTATTGTAGATGCTAGTAAAAGCCTAAGACCGTAAAAAAGTACACTAAAAAGTACACTGAAAACGGACGAAAGTGGATAAAACGGATGAAACAAACTGAACAAGTCTTTACGTGAAAAACTGGGGAAAAAACCGAATAGTAAGCTGAGGCGAAACCACAGTTAACTATTAAATGGGGTGGAACTCAAAAAAAGTAATCTACTGAACGTATAGCTCAGGATAGATTCTTTTGGTCAGAAATGGTACTTTTGTTGCGTAGGAACACAGCAAAAGTTCGATAAGTGCAAATCACGTTAGGACTAAACTTCCTGTAGCCAAATAATTCTGAACGGAATAAAATGAGGCTTGCGATCAACCGGCTTCCGTATCTAGTAGCACTAGACCACCGATGCTGTCAAGTAGGAGCCTAGACTAGAAACCTTAAGAAAAAAAGCTTTAGTCTCCAGCAATAAGGGCGGAATGCCAAATAATCTTCAAAATTCGTTTTCCGGTTAAAATCGAGGTTCTTCTTGTAAATATTCACTGATGTGGCGTGAACAAATTATCGAGGCAAAGAATTTCAGCGATCTTTCGCTCAGTGAGGAGAAAGAAATGGGTAGAACAGGGTAGAAGGAAAAATACCACGATACTATATCATTCACT